TTAATAATTAATAAAAACAATTAAAAAAATCTTCAAAACCCTACGCTTTCTTCTGCGCTTGATTACTTGGCTCGTCCCTCGCACCCGGCCGCGCGCTGCGCAGGGGCCTTTCCTGCTCCGAAATGGTACGGAGCTAAAAATACGTCCCCTCATTTCTTTTTCATGTGAAGCAGCAGGAGGGGGGGTCAGGGGAGCAGCAGCGAGGCTCATGGCTCCGGGCGTCTCCCTGCCCAGCCTGACCCTCCCCAGGGCTCCCAGCGGACGTGTGCGTAAAAAGCCACTGAGCGGGGAAGCGGGTGGCGCGGGAGGGCAGTTCCGCAAGCAGGGCTCTGAAAAGGGGCTCCGGCCTGAAGGACCACAGCCCTGATGGGGGTGGGGGAGCTGGGGGAGCACTGGGCCTCGCTGCTAGGGGGGGGGGAGGGACAGGACGGGCATCGTGCTCGAGCCAGGCGAGACCCAGCCATGGCCACAGGACCTTGTGCCTCCTCGAGCGCAGCGCCGATGCGTACGATGGTGGGGAGAGCAGAGGGACAAGGCTGAGGTCCCTCCTGCTCCTGGCACTCCGGTGCCCCCAGTAAAGTGCCCGCGGCCCAGCCCAGGGCAGCCTCCTCAGCAGCCCCCGGCCCCGGGGATCCTGTTCCCCAGGCGGCTCCGACAGGGCCCCGCTGCTCCCTCCAGGCGGCTGATCAGAGCAGAGCCCCGGCTCCTCACCAAGGTGTCGGGCAACGTGCCTGGGAGCTGCTGAAAGGTGCTTTGTTGGGGCGCAGCTGCTGATCTCGGGGCAGAAGGGCGGGCAGAGCCCATCCATCCCTCGTCCCTGCTCCACCGGCCACCGCTTACAGCCCCTCCGCGCCAGGAGCTGCCTTCCAGTCGCGCCTGCACAGACAGGGCAGGGGAACAGCCCTTTACACCCCCCCTCACAGCAAGGTCCCTGCTCTCAGGGACCCAGACTGACCTCTGCAAAGGCCAGGGCAGCTTTTAGCGTGTTTAATCGTCAAAAAACCTGCAATCGAGGTTAAAGAAATTCAGTCATAAAATGACAGGCTAAAGCTACCACACCCACAGAGGGGATAACGCTCGCTCAGCGCCTTGTAATAACCTCGTTCCCCAGAGGGTTTGGGCTTCCCAAGCAGCGATCTGCCTCTCGGGACTCCTGGGGAGCCCGGCTTGTGCCACGAGGCCGAGGACCTCGCACCCTTGGCTGGGAGAGAAGGGCCGGGAACCAGCTCGGCACAGGTCCCCCCCCCTCCGCCTTCCCTTTGACACGCCGGCGGCCGTCAGCTCTCCTCAAATCATAAAGAAACTTCTGTAAAGACAACCTGAATGTCTTTATTGATTTCCTATTTACAAATCACAAAGCTGGCCAAAAGCAGAGTGTGAACACTGAACGAGAGCAGCGGATACATTCATCAATATAGCGCTGGAGTCGAGACAGTTCCAGCTCTGCTCGGAAGGTGACGTGGTACAACAGAACGTCTCGTACTTTTGGAAACAGGCATGTCCAACAATGAACTACATTCATCTATCTACAGAAGCCAGAATTGCATCAAACTGCATAAAAGCCGTAGGTTGCTCAGGTGTAGTTCAGTTTGACTCCTCTCCCCTCCCCGACAGGACAAAGCTACCAGACCTACCTTGTGGGGCGACGGCAGGAAGGGTGGATTTGGGAAGAGAAGCCGCGTAACGAAACAGTAGTAAAACCAGATGCTTCCAGGGAAGAGCCAGCAGGGAGGCGCCCACCTGGGCTGAGCAAGGCCTGCCCTCGAGTCCTGCTCTTTCCCCAGCCACGCGCGCAGCTTCGCTTCTTCCAAATTCCAATTATTTCCACTATTGCCACCTATATACAGACCCCCCCAGGTGCCGTATCCACGGCAGACGGCCCACCCCCGGGGAAGGCGCAGGCCCCGACGCGGTTCTCGGGCGCTTGCAGCGACGTTCCCACAACCTTTGAGAAGAGGGGGCAGAGGCGGGAGGCGAGAGCGGGCGCAGCTATGTACATCCCGACGGGCCGCCTCCCTCGCGGGAAGGAGCGTGCCCGGTCTGTTAATCCGTCTCACAACACTGTTCGCATTGCACAGAGTCAGGTTCAGTAACGAAGTCATGGACCCATCTTTTTTTTTCCTTTTTTTTTTTCTTTTTTTTTTCCTTTTTTTAGTACTGGCCATATTAAAAACATCCTACCCTGAAGCAGGCTTACAATATACACATCTTACAACGTCTTCCTAGAGAACGTAACACACTATTGACATCTCTAATAGCTACTGGTTAGGAGGTGCCGGGTGTTCCCGACAGTATCACTGCTGCGCGGCTGACGAGGAGATGCCCGGTCAGCCACAGACCCGACCGGAGGGAGCAAGAGGAGGAGACGTCACTTCCCCAGCGAGCGAGCAGGCACCGAGCCATCCCCGCACCAGCGCGGGACGACCAGGTTTTAACTTCTAGCAGCTAAATAAAGGTGACAACCGCTGCCCGGCGAGTTACGATGGCTTCGTGTGCCTGGAGCGGAGGGGGAGGTTTGCAAAGGGGAACCTCGGCTCGGCGGCGGCACCACCCCTTGCCAGCGAGTCCCAGAGAGACTTCGGAAGGCTCTGGCCGCGCTGCCAAGCAGTCCTTTAATTACAGCTTCCTCTGCGGAGGAGGAGGAGGAGGAGGAAATAGTCTCGTAGTCTTCACCAGCGGGCAGCGACCGTGAGGCTGGTCAGGCAGCCGCAAGTACAAGCCACCCGCCTCCTCCCTGGCAGGACGGCGCCTTCCCTGCTCAGCTCACGTCGTACCTGCTTATGGGGAAAAGCAACCGGCCCTGAACGGGCGAGGAGGGGGCGTCTTCAGGATTACTGAGCTCAACGGCCCAAAGCCAGGTGATAGTTGTAAATACCGCATCTTCCTCCTGCGCCTGTCCAAACAGGCAGACTGTGCAAACGTACACGGGCAAACAGAACATCTTTGTTCTCCTGAACTGTTTCATAAATCCTCATCCATCTGCAACAGGCAGTTGCACGTCAAGCCTCTTCCTATTTCGCATCAGGGCGGCACGCTCTGGAGCGGCCTGGGGTGGGTTAGCAACGCACAGAAACAAAGAGAAAAATGCATTGAAACGTGCATGAAAACAGCAGCAACACACAGGAACAGGGGTCCAGGGGAGGCAAGTTCCCTTGCTCGCTTCAACTGACAAACCCCGGCACTATCTGCCAAGGATTTGATTAGCACAGCGACGCCTAGTACGGGTACCCTGCTGCTGAAGGCTGCACGGGGGTTATCTGAGGATCATCCATCGTTTGAAACGCGCTGCGGAGTTTGAAAGAAGCACCACCAGGCCCCAGCACGGCAGCCTGCAGGCAAGGGAGGAAAGAGCCCGCCCGGCCAGAGCCGCCGCCCCTTCCCCAGTCCGCAGGGCCGCGGGCCGTCCGCAGGGGAGAGCGGTTCGCTGTCGCCAACTGCCCAAGGTAAAGGATTGTCACAAATTAGTGAGAACAGCATGAAAACGCCGCAGTCTCTCCAGAGGCGCTCTAGTTTTGAGGTCTCCCTCAAGACCGTGTAGCAAACAGCAAAGCCTCAGGGAAAAGGCCACTTTCCGTAACTTTTTGAAGGCGGCTGCACGTGCCGTGGCTGGCGGGAGGGAAGGCGCCAGGCACGGGCTGGCCAAGCCCCGCTGTTGCAGCGGCGCTGCCGGGCAGGCGCGGCAAACCGGCTCGCCTCGACTGCTGAGCTAGAGCAGAAGAGGATGGGCCAACACAGCCCTCGACTGTGTCTTTTTGCAGGATTATCTCCTCACAGCAGGTATAACCACAACCAGAGCCACTCGTTTCCATGCTTCTGACTGGTGGAAAAGCATCTACATTCATTACAGTCAAAAAAAATGCATGTTGTTAGATAGGATTAATCAGTAAAGTGAAAAACGACTAGCCACAGACAACCTACAAATGAAACTGGTACACCAGTTAGTCTGGTACGGGATAGCAGCAGAATCACTAGCACAAGGCAAAACATGAGCTTTGAAATGATTTTACTGAGACCTTTGGCTAGTGTGGCTCCAATTGGCGTGGTCAAACTCAGCCAGAAATTTAGTTTAGAAGGTCACGGGGAAGAGAACAGAAGAGTCCAGAGCCAGCTCCGCAGCTGCACTATGTGTAGAAGATGATCTCTGGGATTTGTCCATCCTCCACCGAAGTGCCGTTGTTATTCCCAGCCGCGTAACAGAATGTAAAGCAGGTTTTGGCTCCCGTTGTTGGCGATTCATGGATCACTTTGCGCAGTCCTTTGGTTCCGTAGTGGGAATCTGGACCCTGCGATGGTCACAGAAGACAAGAACAGATCAAGACAGGGATCGCAGCCCCGCAGGAACCTGCTGCCCAGGCACACTCTGGGAGGTTTGGCCTCACAGCCTGGCCCGAAACAATGAGTTTCGGAGATCTCAGCACCTCCCTTTTCTTCCTGGTTCTTGCACCTCAGGTGTTTTGAGCAAAGTTCTCGTCTCTATCAGAACTTGACACTACATTTAACCAGGTCTCAACAGTTAAATATCAACTTTTTTAAGCCATGGCAGGCAGGCTCTGGATTACACGCCCGCAGAACTGACAGCTTATCTGTATACACACACAAAAAAAAAAAATGAACTGACAGCTTATCTGTATACACACACACAAAAAAACCCCCCACCACTTCATCACTAATGTAGCCTGTTAATTACCGTACACTTGCAAGACAAGTTAAAAACCAACTCTGAACGCTGGTGGTGAACGTACACATTGCACCACCAGGTGAAGGACTACAGAGCAGACCTTCGAGATTATACTACAGGCCTTGAAAAATGCAGAGCAAGAACCACGTTGCACTGAAGGGACTACAGAAGCCTGCTTTCACCCATCTTTGTAAGCCTCTCTCCCACCCGCGCCGCCCCAGGACGGTACCTTTAGAGTAGCACATGCCGTATAGTTGACGTTGGGTAAAATCTCAACAGGTTCCTTGAACATGACCCGGAAAGTGTTTGATGATCCGTCACAGCTGAACCCGGTGTCGTTCTGTCCCAGGACCGTGTTACTGTCTGTGTGGATGATCTGTAAAGACACGCGTTAACTTTTAATCTGCACAGTTAGTTGAACGCTGCCCTGCACCGGTGCAGGTGCGTGTCCCCTGAACCAGGCTGAACAGTTTGACCAGCCCCGTTGCGACTGCGCTATCCCATTACTTATGCCCGTCTTCAGTGCTGCGATCACGCCGAACAACGGTGGGCTCGGGTCCCAGACAGCCCAAGACAATCCCTCCTTACCCCGAAGCCTGGCAGAGGACTGCAGGCCGACGTTCTGCGCTCAGATCTTCACTTGCCTTTCTCCTCCAAGAGCTCAGGGGCACTAGAAGGAGACCCTGACAATTAAGGAAGAAGCGCTGACAGACTGTGCTCATCACATCAGCCGTGCTGTGCTGGGGTAACTCTCCTGGGGACAGTTCTTCTCAAGTGATCCAGACTGGGGTTACGTACGCGCATCCAGAACAAGGCGCGCAAGACTGCCGTAAGCCGCCCCAGTCTTTGAACAAGATCACAATGGACTTCAGACAACTGAGTCTCCCTCAGTCCGACTCGTCATCTCAAACGGGACACTGATGACGTGAGGCCGCACATCGGCACTGCACAGGCACAGCAATCGCTTTCTTCTCTTCCCTTGTTGAATCGTGGCTGCTCCACTGCATTTGTGCGGAGCAAAAGACGGTCCAAGTACTACTGCAGCACCCAGCTGTTGCTGCAGCACCCACAGGGCAGAACTGGCCTGGCCTGCTCGGTGCGGGAAAACATGCACAGCTTCTTCTCAAACCGCGTCACAACTCTCCGAGACGTATTTTCAAAGGCTGCAAGCGGACTTGGGGAGATATTGCAGTGACGCATGCAACGGGAGGTTGCATAAAAATCGAGAGCAATAATCCCTCTTATCCCCAGCGCCCCATCTGGCCCTCACTGCATCTGCTAACCACCTTATCTAGAAAACAAATACAGTCCCTTCTAACTTAAGATTTTGTTGCATATTCACTAAAATGCGTGCGTTAGTCCCTACAGCAGCAAATATTTTTAACGTAGTAGAGAGATTTACCTGTATATTTACTTGGTAATCCGTTGGCCCATGTATGGATCCGTATAATCCAAACCCAACTACAAATATCCTTTTGTTTACCGAGAACCTGCAGGAACAGATCAGGAAAGTCAGACCAACTTACCACTCCTGTATTGTTTTAGGACAAGGATGATACACAAGTATCTTCACTCACTTTAATTTTATACCTATGATTTAATCAAGCATACTACAGTTTTAAATGCAAGTCTTGCTAATAACTGAAATCCTTCACAGAAAGCTCACACCTTTGACTGTCCTAATGGGCCGGCAATAATTGTTTGCTCGTGTCAAATACAAAGCTGCGCAATCCCATCACCGAACTTCAGAGTTCAGGCTCAGAAAGCGCTTCGAGGTTGCGGTACCATGTCAGCATCCAAAAACGCCAGCCAGGCAAAGGCAGGGTGGCCTGCACAGCATGGAATAGCGCCCACGCTCACGGCAGCAGCAGTCTTTCCGGCAAGGTAACAGCAAAGACCACTTAAAGCGTCATTCGGTATTTCACTGCTGAGCACTGGAGGAGAATTGTTAACGTGCTTCTGAGTATTTGCTGGATACAGCTGCACTCGAGATTTGCCCAAGAGTAGAAAATAAGATTCAGTAGCTCCTGAACGCAGGAATCCCTGCTGCCTAAGGCAGCGAGGGGAAGGATATTCACCCCACTGCCCCACTACAGTTCCATCTTCTCAGGTAGCAGAAAGCCTCAGTGCCCGCCAAACTGCCAACATAATTTCTTCACCCGTCCACCAACTCTTTCAGTCCTGCGTGTTTCAAGAACAAACATCTGCGGCAGGCGAGAAGCCACTGCTCTGCTACCAGCATAAAATACTCAGTGTTGAAACTGCACACAAGCCTTGCTGAGGACTGACCCTGATGCTGCCAGCAGTTGAACTTGAAGTCAAACACAAGCTCCAAAAGGTCTCTGAACGTTAGATCTGAGAGCAGTAAGTATTTGGAGCTGGCAGCTCTTCCAGTTGCGATCTCCTGTAAGGGGATGAATGGACCAGAAGACCCAACCGACGGCACTATTGATATGCAAGAGAGCCATTGACGAAAAGGCTTAAAAATTTTAAAGAACTGTATTAATGCGAGTCCCCCTTCCACCCAGGACAAAGACAAATCGGGAAATAACCAAGGCTTTCCGATTACCTCCTGTCTTGCTCTAATCGCTTGGCCACACAAGGCTTGCAAACCACCATTTGCCACGCCACACCTCCACGTCTCTGTCACCATGACTGGGCTTTGCTGTTTCTCTACCAGCTTAGCTCTAAACAAACTACATATTAGCAGAAGAGCAAGCATTTTATCCTAATCCCTCCCTCAAATAGGCAAGATTAAGGGGCTTCAACAAGCCACATTTACACTTATAATAGAGCAGGGAACCAACCTGATGGAGCAGTGGTTAGTCGACATACCCAGGCACAGGAGGAAGCCGTGAGCTGCCTGGTGACTCCAACCGCTACGTGCCCGTACAGCTGCAAGAAGCCACTTGAAAAGGAGAGAAATAATCCCCCAAGAGGCCTGTGCTGGAGGGCCACGTTTGCTGGAAACCTTTGCCAATACAGAAGCAAAGTGGCAGCCTGCAGCTGCACGTGCAGGTTAACGCATCAGGCAATGCTTTCGCCCAGCAAAACGCTTTCCCTTCAGGGTTCGCACTAGGTGGAAGTCAGGGTCTAGCACGTAACCTTGCGGGTTTAGGTCTAGAGTAGGCTCAAAGCTCAGTAAACATGAATCTATCAGCAGCAGAATTAGCAGAGAAGCTGACCTTATCCTGTCACTAGTCCCACTGTACCCCCAGCGGCTCTCCACCTGCTGGAAACGGCTGATGCTGCACTCCTTCCCCCGCAGGCAGCAGCGCGGTCTGTCGATGAACTCCACCCGTGGCTTCGGGTTCACTGTGAAGTGGAGGAACAGGCTCACCACTTCCCGGTCCGTGAGGATTCCCGACTGGGCAGGCCCTGCAAAGGAGCACGAAAGCAGCGACGCCGTCAGCCTTCAGAAACCAGAAGGGATCCTTTTGGGATTTACATGGGGAGGCAAACTTGACTTGCAGCTAAGAGTGGGCCAAACCCACATCACACATGGGATCTCGCTGGTGTGCCAGGAAGTTAAACCCCAGAGAGAAACGTGCTGCCTGCCTTTTATTTGCACACCAGTCATGGACGGCAGAGCACGTACACGAAACGGCGATTAAGCACGCCTGCCGCCTGCCTTTTTATTTGCACACCAGTCATGGACGGCAGAGCCTCTGTACGGAGCACGTACACGAAACGGCGATTAAGCGCACAGCTCCACAGAGCCGAAATGCATTTGGCTAACAGGACTGGTTTAAAAACCTAAAACATGCAGCTAATCCTTCCCCCACTCCCTCAGGAGATGGTAATACTGGTAAGAGACAGGGATTTTCATACACCTACACCGGCATTTTATAACATTACTGTTAGAACGTCATGAAAGCCCATGAGGGGTAGTGGGAGGGAATATCACCTGGTTACCATCAACTTAGAAAGTATAGGAGTATTTTTCAGTCAAGACAAAGGTGGTTCAGCTCGTGCCGTGCTTTGACTCCCTCCTTCCCTCAGGCATTTAATCCCTGCTTTGGGTTTGTTGGGTTTTTTTGTGGTTTTTTTTTTTTTAAATACCTTTATCATAGAACCTAGGGAAAAACTCTAGTGATTTTGGCAAAAGTTGAAATAACGTTCTCATCTTTTCCCCAGTAACTAGATGTTTTTTCCAAAGTGATGCTAAACTCAAGCTTTGGAAACTACTTCGAATACTTTCAAAAGCGGAACCAGGTGAAAACTAGTCTTTTAGCATAAGAGTCAAAAGCTGCTCTGCACCTCTATTTGCAGGAGGCTTTTAACAGAACCAAGACTATTGCGTACTGGAGAAACAACAGCACTAAGTGCTCTTTAATGTAGGAAGCAAATGTCTAGCTACTTGTTGGTCCAAAACGACTTGTAGTTGGTTAAATTCGACATGATGTTACGCAGACGTAACATGGTCCAAGGCTGCAATAGGTAGAGATGAAAGAATTTAAGGCAGTTCACTGTTAACAGATAAATGAGCTTATGGATACTTTGCTCAGCAAAAATCAGCCGTCATTGATCATGTCTAAACTTATCCCGTGTTGCTGCAATTCAATTCTCAAATGTTTCAAATTACTTGCTCTAAGGGAAGGGAGTGACACATTTGCCAGTTAAAACATCTTCATGCAAAACTCCACGTTTGATACCAGATTATACAACAAACTGGTGAAACCACTGCCTGTAAAAATCCCCCCTTTTTTTTTTTTTTGCTTTGGGGAGAGGGGGGCAGAGGGGAGTGGTTTCCCTCTCCTACCTCTGCTGCGATCACCAAAGAAATCAGAGTCACTCAGAAAAAGGACGAAGCGGAAGCAATTCCAAGGCAGCCCCTTGTTTAAGGAACAGCTGACCAGCGCAGCCTCTCAGGTTTGGGGTTTCTTTTGTTCATCTTTTAGGTTAAAGTGGATGGAGAAAACTTAAAGAGTTTCTCTCAAAGCAAGACGACTAAAGACCCAAGTCGAACAGGCAGTTGTGACAGACAGTATCGGGAGGGGCACTGACATTCCCAGCTCAAAGGCTTCAACCCAAATATGCCAAAATTAACACATTCCTCCCAGTGAGATAGAATGATACAAGATCTGAAGGAAGGGTTGAAAGAAACGGGATCTACAGAAAAATGCAAAGCTTGGTATACATGAACTGCTCTGATGGCTGTAACGCTATCCAGAAGGAGGATGCTCTCTCCTATCAAGCCGGATCGTAAGCCTGTGATCTGCTGCAACGCTGCTGTTTGGCATGATGCACACCGAGGAACAGAGCGTGCTGTGTTTTCACCCGGTGCCAACACAAAGGAAAGTTACCCAGTTTGGATGAACGGATCTCTGCCTCCCTGACCAAGCCGTTTCTGAAGAGATTCAGGTCCCTAAGACCACATTGCAGCTGTGACAGGCAAAATGGAAAGCGGGTACCAAGTTTTAACCACAGATTTACTTCTTACTAATATCCCTCTTCATCTTGAAATATGTACACTACCTGCCGATAAGCTGACGCCGTCTCTGCCTTGAGAAGTGATCTGCAAAGGAAGTGGTGTCAGTGACCCTTTTTGCTTCTTTGTACACATAACTGCAGCCTAAAACAAGTTTCAGTTTTGAAAATGGCTCCACGGTGTCTTTTAGCATGAAAACTATTTAAGCCGGTTGCCAGTTTTCAATCCCTGGAGAATCACCAGAGTATGAAGTCAAAGACAAACAGGCAATGAAAACAAAACAAAAAATCTTTAGTCAAAACTGTTAAATGATTTAGACATCTTTGTAGATCAAGATTTTAACGTAAACTTGAAAAATGCTTTGAGACACAGACTAAACAAACACCAACCCTTCAGCTCAAAGAACATTTTGAAAGTTTTTTCTGTTATGGGGCTCTGCTCTGAACAGCATCAGCAGGACACGGCTAACACCACCACTGGATTACGGGCAGTAGCAAATAGAGGATGGGGAGAAACATCCTCATTTCTCCTTGGGAGCAGGCTACAATCAACAACTATATGCAACTCCATTAGCTTTGTGTAGTTTAAACACTTGGAATGGTTAGAAAGGAAAGCATGTGAACCCCTGTTTGGATCTTTGCTCTCAGCTGAATGAGAAAGTAACCATCTAAACATGCTGAGTACAGCCAGCTATGATCCGACTTGCTCCTACCTGATGGAGCACTGTAGTCTTTAGAATCATAGAACTGTTTAGGTTGGAAAAGACCTTTAAGATCATCAAGTCCAACTGTTAACCTAGCTCTGCCAAGTCCACCACTAAACCATGTCCCTAAGCACTACACGTCTTTTAAATACCTCCAGGGATGGTGACTCAACCACTTCCCTGGGCAGCCTCTTCCAAT